ATTTCCCCGAAATTTTTTTAATCTTCTTCCACCATTTTGGCGAAATAAGTAAAAAAATAAGTATTTTTTGTAATTGATTTTTAAATAAAATTATCAATTTTATTAGTAAAGTTGTAGTTCTTAATCTTTTCTCCAGGTTTGATTGGTACTTTAAAAGTTTTTTTTAAGTTTAAGAAAGGAGTAGAGATTACCAGAATTTTTAAAAAATATTTTTGAAATATAATAAAAAATTACTATGATTGAAATTTTTCTTTAAAAAAGTATTTCAAAAGTTTTGCCAATTATTTTGAAAAAAAATTAATAAATTTAAAAAATAATAAGAAAAAACCGGCTTTAAAAATAAACTCCCAAAAGCTATAAATATAAAATAAATATAAAATAAGGGGGAACGTGGTTGGTTGTGTGTATTTTACTTGTCTTAATCAAATGTCAATCAAATAAACGTTTGTTACGCCTTGTCTTTTACTATTAACTCGTTATTAAAATAATAATATTTTTATAACTTTTTTTGCCGTGTCCTTTTATTTTTTAATTTAAAAGAAATATTATGAAAACTTAAAATAATTTTTAAGAAAACAAAGTTTAAAAATTAAAAAAAATATTTTCCAATCATTATAAATAATAAGTATTTTTAAATCATTACCTCTTTAAAATATCTAGACTGTTCTCTATCACCAATTCCATTCAAAAAAGAACAACACCAACGGACAGCTTTATAAGCTTTCTAATAAAAATATATTTTTATTTAAAATATTCTCTAAATTTCTCCAAACCTTCCACCTTTTTCTTGATTGACTAATTATTGGGGATATTATATTTTTATATTTTTTATAATCTATTTTTATATTTTCCAAATCATAATTATCAAGATAAAGAATTAAAGATTTATTTGATGAAAGTTGATTTGAAGGAATTTGTTGTTGTTGGGATGATGGGGATATGTGCTTTAAATAAAAATAAAAAATTTAAAAAATTTTGGAGGGTATAGAAAGCGAGAATCAGGATAAAGAATTAAAATTTAATAACCATTTTAATCCATTCATGTTCTAAACAATCATCAATTGTTGCTCTTTTATTTACATCTCTAACCAACATTCTCCCAATAAAATCTTTAACTATTAAACTAAAATTTGAGCATAAATGTTCAGGGAATTTGTAATTAACAGCAGAAATATTTGCAAATGTTTTTTCTCGAGTTTTGCCCAAAAATGGGGATGCACCGCTTAAACTTTAAATTAAAAATAATTATTTTTTAAATTAAAAATTCTACAGACAGAATAAAAGTAACAACTCCAATTGCCCAAATATCTGTTGCTAATTGAAGTGGCTCAGAATTAATTATTTCTGGTGCTTAAATAAATAAATAAATTCATTTTTTTAATTTAAATAATTTTATAAAAACTAACCAACAAATTCAGGGGTCCCCACCATTTCTCTAATACAACTTTTTGGGGGTAATTGTCTAGATAACCCAAAATCAATTAATTTAATCTTTGCCTTCCCACTTTCTTTCAACAAAATATTTTCAGGTTTAATGTCTAAATGGGCTATTTGTAATTTATGTAAATGTTTAATAGCCCTCAATATTTGATAAATAAATTGGGCAGCTTCATTTTCTGTTAAATATTCATTTGTATAAACATAATCAAATAATTCTCCTCCACAAATCCTTTAAATTTTTGTTAATTAAATTAATAAAATTAATCCTCTTTCTTACAATTCCAAAACTAAAATCATTTCATGTCCATTCTCAAATAAATCAATTAATTGAATTATTGAATCATGTCCAGCAACGGTTTGTAGAATATCTACTTCTCTTTGAATATGTGATTTTAGAACACCACGACGGGATGTTGGATAACGACGCTTTAAAAATAAATTATTAAAATTAATTAATTTTATGATTTAAAAGTTCCTTCAATAATTTCACCCACTCCCCTCCATCCCTACCCTCCCTCCCTCCCCTCCTCTCCTTTTATTTAAAAACTTTTTAAAAACCTTTCTAATAAATTTTGCTGCAAATCTTTCTCCAGTAGCTCTATTTCTAACCCTCCTAACAGTTGCAAATTGTCCACTTCCAACTTCCTCTTCAATTTCATAATGTTGTTCAAATGGTTCTTCATTTGCAGAAATTAATGGGCGCATTTAATAAATGTTTTTTAATTAAAAAAAATTTTTTTTTAATTATATTTAATTAAAGAAAAAAATCAAAAAGAATAAATATTTTATTATTTTTAATTATCATAATTTAGCCATTATGTAGTTAGTGTATATATTTACTATTTTTGTTGTTTAATAATTACTTTTTTTAATAAAAATATAAATATTTATATATTTTGTACAAAAACACTAAGATTATGAAACAAAAATAAAAAAATAAATTCTAGTAAAATTATTAATTTAATTAATTAAAATGTATTAAAAAAATATTAATTTAATAAATATTAAAAACCAAAAAAAAATTAAATAATTTTTAAAAGTTTTGCTAGAGGGGATTTAGTATGTTTATTTTATTTTTATTAACAAATAAATTGAATAATTCTTTCCTTTTTTTCTATTCAAACGCGGGGAAAACCGTCTGGAAGGACAAACAACACACAAAATAAATATAAATAAATACAAAAATTATTGACCAACCAACCAAAAAAATATAAAATTAACTAACTAACTCATTTATTTATTTATTAACTATTTATTCGCTCAACAAATCTCTCTCTCTCATTTTTTCGGTCACACACAAAAATGATCGAAAAAGTAATCTTTTAGTAATTGAACGAATATTAGCGGTAAAAAAAGTAATAATTAACAAATAAATTATAAAAAAATTCAATAAAAATAATTAAATTCTCAAAATTAATGTAAAAACGAGGAAGGAAATTATTTTAAAAAATTATTTTAAAATTTTCATTATTTAATATTCTTTATTGGGTGCAACATTATGGACGCCTAATTTATTTTTAGAATAACTTTTTCTAAACTTGCCAGAAATTAACAATTCTTTTTTTTATTATTATTGATATCAGAATAAAATTTAAATTTTTTCGGGCAAAAATTTTTGACTAAAATTTTGTTTATGTAGTATTTATGAGACAATAAAAAATATTTTTAATTTATTGTTAGGAAGAATGGATTATTGTTTAAATAAAAAAACAAATAATTTTCGATACAAAAATAAATCTACAATTAAAAAAAACATAATTGAATTTTTAATTATTTTTTTAGGAAAAAATAATTAAAATTCTCTCTCGTTTTTCAATTTGATGTGAATTTTGATAGGAAATAATTTCTTGAAAAAACGAGTACGGGAAAAGTGAAGGACACAGAAAACTTTAGTTAGTTAACCCCCAAAAACACAATGACAGGTAGTAATAAAATACATTTTTTGGTGTACGTGGGGGGCTAGTTTAGGGAATTTTTGGGTGTAATGTAAAGAGAAAATAAATAAGTAGAGGGAAAAAAGAAAAGGTTGATGAGGAAAATAGTGGAACCTTTTTTTTGCATTTATTACATAAAAATAAATAAATGTATTGATTATTTGCTTTGACTTTTAAGTGTTTTAAACAATGAAATTAAAAGGTAAAAATATTAAAAAATAAATAAATTTAAATATAATAATTAAAGAAATTAATAAAAGAGGAGATCTTAATTTAATTTTTATTAAAAGGATTAACTAAAATAATGAGGAGAGTATTTATTACAGTAAAAAAGCCGTTCAAGTTTTGATTTAATAAATATGTATTTTTTAATTAAAATATATCATATTTTTAAATTTTACTTTAAATGTCGCTCAATACTTTGATTCTTTTCCCTCATTTCTATAAAATATTTACAACTTCAATTTTCGCCTCAACTCTCCCTCCCCCCTATACATTTGAATTGAGGAGGTAGATGGATGCGCATGCGCAGCAATTAAGAAATACATATATCGAATGTAGAATCTACAGTCTGAGAGAAAAATAATAAATTTTGTTTGGTTGAAATTGGAAATTTTTGATTTTAAAATAGATATAAAAAATTTACAATTATTTTTAAGAAGGAAGTAAATTCTAATAATTTTTAAAATATTTTAGTGAAGAAAACAAAAATATACAAAAAACAGCAAAGTTTCTATCTTGTGTTATCTCTCCTAATTATATGTATTTCCCAATTATTATCAGCTAAATTATGCAGGCTTTATAATTTAATTATTTTTAAATAAATTTTTATTTAATAATTTAAAAAATAAATAATTGTTTATAAAATTTATTTAATCTTTTTTTTATTTAAAAAATTCCGATTAGAAAAATAATAATAATAAATTGCTTTTTTAAAAATACTGGTTAAATTGTGGATTATCTACTACATAGTATTTTTATATTAACGATTTTATTGTCATCAATTGACTTGCAAAATGACTGGAAATTACTTTTGGATTAGGAAAGAATAAAAATATTTTTTTTGTATTTTATGTGAAGAGAGATTTAAAGTTTAAAAAAAAAGGGGGTCCTTAAAAATTAGTTTAAAAATATTTAAAATTTACTTTTTTTAAATAATTTAAATAAAAATCAATTATTGAATAATGCAACGTGTAAAAAAAGTAGATAATAAATAATTGTTGTATTTAAATTTAATTTTTTTAAAATAATTAATTATTGTAAATTATATTAATATTTCTAATTTAATAAAAATTAAATTTAAATACACAAACAACAAATAAATGTTTTGAAAGAATTTACTTAAAAATCTATATCTTTTCTTTTATTTTTATTTCTCTTACATATTTAGAAAAAGACGTTTGTCCAGCCGGTTTCCATTTACTCGTTTTTAGCTTTTATCTGCCAATCGGTTTATAACAATTTTTAATTAATTTTCAATATTTTTATTTTAAGGAAATAAAAAAAACTTTTTTTATTAGAAATGTTGTTTATAAAAAAGTCTAATATATATTTATCTTTTAAAAAGGAAATTATTTTTTGTATTTATTTAATTCTTAATTAATTTCAAATCTTCTTTCTAAATTATTATGATAACATTTGATTTGCCAAATATATCTTTGACCTACGATTTTGCTCAGCTAACATCTTGAAATTAAAAAGAATTTCCTATAAAGTCTTCAAAGAAAAGATATCTCAGACATACTTAAATGGTTTATCCCTAAATTAAAGATTCGGAAGAAATCTTCGGATATCCGGATATAAGTAACCATCGAATAAACTAACTTTTTTGAAAGTCATTATTATTAATTAATAATTACCTTTTCATCAATAAAAATTACAGGCATTACATGTTCTATAATATAAGTAGGTAAGTATATATTTAAGGTATATTTAATAAATATAATAACAAACCAAAAAGAATAACAATTCCAACTACACTAAAAATAATCAAAGATAATTTTTTGTATTTAAATTACTAAATATTCTCTTAATTTTTCAAAAATTCTCTTAATTTCCAAATATTTAATTTAAAATAACAAAAAAATACCCAATAATGTAGAGAATTGTAAAAATAATTAGTTCTCGGCCTTTGAGTGTATGAACCAATTCTGGTTTATTAAATGGATCTCGGTGGAAGGCTACACTTTCTGCAAAAGCGGAAGAGACACGCTTAAGTGCCATTCGAAGCATTTTTTAAATTTTTATTTTAAATTCAAAAATCAATTTTTTAAAAATAATTTTTTATTTCAAAAAATGGATGTTTAAATGTTAAATGCTTTTTTTTTGATAGATTACTCTAAAATATTAAATACCTTTAGATCGTCTAGGCAACTTCACTGGCGGTTTAGGGTGCTGTAAAAATTCTTTTTCCTCTTCGATTTCACCGATTCCATAGCAGCCATTATTATTACCCAAATTATTATTCATTTTTATCTTATTTTAATTTATATTTTTTTTATTAAAAAATTAATTTTAAATTTTATATTGTGAGAAATTTAGTTAAATTAATGAATTTAAAAATGTTTTTTTAATTTTTAATAGAACTTTAATTTTCTCAAATAAAAAATTAGAAAAATTAAATGTGGAGATTTTTTAGTAAATAAAAATGTTTATTTTTAAAATTTAAATTATTTTTAGTTAGAAATAAAAATATAGTAAATGTTTATTTTGTTATAGTTAATAGTAATTATTTTCTCAATCTAATTCTCAAGTTTCTCAATAAAAAACAAACGACCAAGCTAAATCTTAAGTAGAAAGCAAACAAAATAAATAAATAATTTAAGTAATAAAATGAAGAAAAAATTAAAAATAATTTATAAATTTTAAGTAATTAAAAAAAGATTCATAACAAAATATGTAGGGGAGGAAGATGTTTTTATCTTTTGAATTCAAGTAATTGTAGTCATTCAATTAATTATTTTTATTCGAGCATAGAAAAGGTATTTACAAAAAAAATAAAAGAATTAAAGTTTAATTTATATAAAATAAAATTCTGAATTTTAAAAATTTAATAGAGAATTTAATTTTGTTGGGTCTGGTGAATAATTTTAAAAAATCCAGCAGAACCCAGTTTTAGGTTCCAAAAAAGTCCCGTCATTAAAATTTTATATAATGTATTACAGGTATAATAATTAAAATGTCAAATCCCTCATAAAAAATATAAAAGAGAATTTAAATTTAAATGAGGGATTAAAATTTAAAATGAACGAAGACTTTTTCTAGTTCTCCCCAACTGTAATCCTTCAGAACTCCCACCATTTGTTGTAGGTGATGGAGGAATTCTTTCAACAGATTCCATTGCTGGTGACCCAATAAATAACTTTTAATAAAAAAATAATTAATTTATTAATTCATTTATTTACCAAATAGCCAATAGTTTTGCCAGTTAAAGCAGCCAAAATTAAGGGAATATTAAAAGTTCCAGAAGGAACCAGAACAAAAGCAAAAATAAAAAGGCCCCATTGACAGGCATAAAGAAAAGCTTGAATCATTCTATTACGTGTAAATGTTCTTCTAAAAATATTTTTTAATTCGCTTTTAATTGTGACATTTTCTTCAAATAATTCTTCATTAATATTTTGTTCATTAATATATCTGTTATTACTACTTGTTGAAGGAATTCTTTCGTTAATTCTAATTGTAGATATAGATTGTTTTTGTTGTTGTTTTTGTGAATTTAAAAGTGTTTGTTCTCTTTCTAAAATAAAACGAAGACCGAGAACTGCTTCGTGTAAAATAGCTACTAAACTAACTACTAACATTGAAGCAGCCAAACCTTTTTTTAAATTTAAATTTGAAAAAGATTTAAATGAATTTTTCGTTAAAAATTAAAGAAAGTCTATAAAAAATTTCTATAAGTAATGTAAATACCCCCCTCTCTCCGTGGTTAATCAAATTTCTAAAAAAGTACACACAAGTGCACATTTGGGGTGAAATCCAACTTTATATAAAATTCAAATATACCCGAAAAATTAAAAAAAAAGTTAGTTAGCCGAGAGTTAGCAGAAAATGTATCTAAAGTGTTAGGGGCATTCCCAATCTTAATTATTAATAACCCAATATAAATTGAAGAAATAATTGAATGTGTTTTTAAAAACAATGTAGAGTACCTACCTAATTTATAAATTTAATTATTTCTAATTTAAAATTACCAAGTCCACTTCCCATTTTCCAAAAATAAAAAACAACATATTCGTGTTCCCCAAAATGAAGAACAGAATTTTCGTAGTCGTATTTCCAAGGACCAGAATCGGGCATAGCGTCACTAATTGATGGAGGAGAAATTAAAAATCGAACAAATTCTTTTGGCCAACGTTTAAGCCATGCAATTAAAGAAGAGTTTGTTGTTGTAATTATTGTTGTGGAATTATTTAAATTAGTATTTAAAACTGTGGTAAGCATGAAAAAATAATTGGAGAAGAATTGAAAAAGAAGAAAGGTAAAACAATGATAAATAAATTGCTTTGTTTCAATTGAAACATAGAAATTAGTAAATTTTAATTTTTTATTTAATTTTTAGTTTTTAGCCTTTTTTCAGTTGTTTTAGTATGTTGGCATTAAATAAACAAATAAAATATTTTTTTACGTTTTATGATGATTTCCACGAAGAATTAAATGAATGTTCTCGCAAGGCTGTTAAATAAAGAAAAAAAATTATAAAAATAATGAAGTAAAGAGAAAGAAAGAAAATGACAAATAAATGGTGGAAAAATATTTATGTGTTTTTCATTAACCAAAAATTGATTTACTATTTACCAAATTTTTTAAGAATTTTTAAAAGAAGGAAAACTGTTAATTATTCCAAAAGAATTTTAATTTTATGACAAAAAAGCAAATGGCGTTAGTTCAAAACCGAACAGAAGAACCGAGGATTTTTCAGTTCTCCGGTTCCGAACTAAAATTTTCTAAGAATCAACAACCCTAGGGGGTAAAGTTGACAGCCGAGAAGAGAGAATGTACATTGAATTTTAGTTCTATAAAATAATTATTTACTCACGAAAATATGGAAACATCTCTCATTGCTTTCTCACCAAAATTTAATTTTCTTGTCAGTAAATTACATAAATAAACATGCTATTCCTTATGGTAAACATAAATTTTGGAAAAAAATATATATGTAAACTATTCACCAAAGTGAATTTGTTTTGACAGCCGTTGACAGCCGAGAGAAAGAGGGGGAGGGAGAAAAAAATAATTGATCGAATTTTGGAAAGAATAATTATCAGAGAAAGAGAATAAATAAATGTTTGGCTAGAGATGTTTTATTTACAGATGTAAATCAATAAAAATCGGAAAAGATAAAAGGAGTGTTTAAATATTTAAATATTTAAATTTTTTTTCAAATTTTTTCTCTTATTTTTATTAAAACTATTAGGGTGTAACATAAATAATTAGCCCCCCTTGAGCAAAGTTAAATAAATATTTATTAAAATTCAACTAAATGTTCTCAGTCTTCAAATTATATTTTTCTATGATCCTAGGAGAGTTGCCTATTTTCTGGCAAAAAATCAGAATCCTAGGATTAGATTGGCCAGAGTTAGAGGTAAAATACTAAAACATGTATTTTTGAAACAAGGCAACTCCTTTTTGATTTTTCTCTGCAAAATTGATGAGTAAGAATAAAAAATTAAATAGATTCTGATAGAGCATAATCTGATGAATACGATGATATAAAAAATTCCCATGGAAAACAATTGGCTGATTTTTTAGAGGGTCACGTTTGTGACATAGGGGCTAGCATTAGGCTGTTTTAGGATAACCCTCGCGCGAAAATGCCCAGCGAATCCAGGCGACCAGATTTTTTGAATGCTTCGATCTATTTAGGAACAATACTATGTGGGGATAATAGTTTAGCCTGTTTAAACTAATTTTCAATTATTACCCCGCCGCGACACAACCAAACCCATAACAGATCACGCTGTTGGAACAGTCTGGGTTAGAGGTCGAAACTGATGGTTAGTTGGGATGAGCCGTTGCTTTTTATTTATAGAATTCTTGTAGGCAACCCAATCTTCCTTATAGGCTAAAATTTGTTTCAGACAAGGAGCTTCATTGTGGCGTTTAAGGGGTTGTTTTGCCAAAGCGACTTAGAGATTTTTTTGACTTTGCGGCAATTCATGGGGTATCAATTGACCCTTCATAACTTGATACCCGCTTCAAGTAAAATTATGGTAATTTTTGTAAGTGAGCAGGTGAGTGCCTGCCCCAATATACACATTTTATTTTTTGGATTGGCTTTGATTCAGGGAAGAACGGCATTCATATCTATCGTTGGTTGGCATCTAAGACGTTATTTGTCTTTCAGCTCCTCTCTACCTTTCTTTTATTTGGAGACCCAACTTTTTTCTGTGGAATAGGAGATAACATCCTCTTACTTCGCTATGCATATTTTGCGCCATGATTCCTTTTCCGAATGTCCAAGTTCAATTTCATATTTGAACTGGACGCTAATTTCATAATTTTGACTTAAATTTTAAAAATTCATTAAAAATTTTTAAATAAAGAAAAAAATTCAAATCTTTCAGAAAATTAAGAAGGCATTATTGTGAATATATGACAAAAAAATTAAAAAGATTAGAGATCTGAACATTGAGATATACATTTTCAAACTTTAATGATTTAAGGGGGGCTAATTATTTATGTTACACCCTAATAATTAGCTTACCACTAATTTTTAAATTTAAACAATTCTTTGATATATTTTCCAAGTTTCCATACTCTATAAATTTTAATAAAATATTTAAAAAAGAAAACAAAAATAACCAACCAGTAATTGAAGGGCATTATTTGCTTGAATATTATCACTCGAAATATGTGTCATTTCCTTTAAAAAATATTTTTATAATTAAAAAACAAAAATATTTTACGGTAATAGCAGAACATAAAATAAGTATATTTCCAGCACGTACAGATGCCTGAATACTTGCTTCGTTTGTTGTTGTTGTTGAAGATTCATTAGAAATTATTTTACAAAAAATATTGTTATATAAAAGGGAGAAATAGTGTTGCTTTAGAAGAGAAAACTTTTGTTTACTTTTTTCTGATATATCAGGAATTGCTTTAAAGAAAAAATATTTTTATTTTTAATTAAAAACAAACTTGAAGATATTATAACAATAATATAAAATAAACTAATTTCAATTTCATTTAATTGTAATTTACTTAAAGGTTCAACTAAAACTGTAAACATTTTCTCTACACATTTACTTTCAACTAAAATACATTGAAGGGAAGGTTCGCGCGGAAAATATGCTGAAAAATAAAAGAAGAGGTAATTAGTATTTTTAAAGTTATATAAAGAATGAGTCATTAAAAAATTACAAACATCCAATACAATAACATATTCCTTTGTCAATTCCAGTTTTTAATGTCCATAATGCACACAATGCCCAATGGAATGCCGGAAATCTTGCTTTTGTTATAATAATCTAAAAATAAATTAATTCTGAATTGTTTATTAAAAGTCTGTTTTCATTATTAGCTACTTTTAATTAAATCAATCGAAGTATTAATTATTACATTTTTCAACACAAAATTATTCAACTATTAATGCTCATTTTTTAAAGGATTATTTTAAAATATTTACACTCATTTCAGTTATAGGAATGATCTCTTTAACTTTACAAGCCAATATTTATTCCTGAGAATCCTTTTTGTTTAAAATTCGAAACTTTTAAAAATTAAATATTATAATTTACTTGATCTTCTATTGGAAATTTTTCAATTTCTGGTAATGCCTTGAGGAAATCAATAAATAAAACAAAACATCTATTCCAATCCTAGAAATAAATATTTTAAATAATTATTAAATCAAAAATCTCCAAACATTTGCAGCATCTGTAGCTGTAGCTATTCTATTTGCTGATAAATCTATCTTAAAATTTATTCAAAAAAGTTAATTTAAAAAAAATTTTTTATTGCCTTAGTACGGGCACAAAGTATTGTTGGATTATTGAATAAATAAATAAATTCTGTATTTGTTGATATATTTGAATTTTGAATTTGTTGACTAAAAATAAATATATTTTAAATTTAAATTAAAAACTTCAATTCAATATCATCTATTCGATTAAATAAACATTTTTGTATTTCTACAAGTTCTTTTACTTTTTGTTCTTTAAATTGGCAATCCATGTCAAATATTAATGGTAATAATGTATTTGGTGGCTATTGAATATTTAAATTAAAAAAAATAATTTATTAAATAATCTATTGGAGGAGAATTTTTATATAAATTTGAAAGAAAATATTATGAAAAATTCTGTATACATATATTTTAATTTTTATTTATCCTAACTAAATGCAATTTTAAAAGGATTTCCTTTTTTAGTATAAAAATAATTAAATATCTATAAATACCATTTTATTTAATCCCCCACTAGTTGATGGTTTTTCGCTTAGTTGTTGTTCTAACAGATTATTTTTGCATAAATTAAATATTGAAAAATTATCATTTTTTAAAGAAGAGACTGGATGTGAAACAAGTGAAGTAAATATTTGCTGTTGAAATTGTGTTGTTGTTGGGCCAAATTCGGAAAAACGAAATGAAGGGTTGTCAAGAAGGAATGAACGTTTAAAAATTTAAATATTTATTTTTAATTTCAATTTTAACAAAAAAAAGGAAAATCTTTTTCATTTAAAAAATCCTTAGTACAAACTCAGTTTGTGTTTCAATTGAACGGGAACTTTGAACACAAGATATAATCGCTCTTTTAGTAGAAATACAAGAAGAAACTATTCTAATTTCATTATTTTCAGTCTGTGAAGGTGGCAGAACACGCTCGCTTTGAATAGCTAAAATAAATTAATAAATTATTTAAAAAAATCCAAAACCTCTTGGATTCATTCCAACAGCTAAACATTTATTTAATCGGCAAAATCTGCAAGAATTTCTCTGTTCTTTTAATATAAACAAAATAAATAATTAATTTTTATAAAAAAATATTTTTTAACACCTTTAAATAATTTACATTCATTATTACTTCGGCATTTATAACGTTTTTGACTCCAAATACTTCGACGGAAAAATCCCTTTAAATAATTTTTATTCAATTAAATAAACAGAAACAAACTTTGCATCCATTGCTATAAAATATTTAAAAGTTAATAAAAAAATATATGTATAAATCAAACCAAGCGTTCACACCGTAATGTTTTCCAAAAGCCTGAAAATTTTTTAATAAACTAAAATTAATTTATTCAATAATTGTCGGGAATTATGTAGCTACGGTCGTCGCTCACTTCACTCAGGACTTATCTCGATAGGCTCTTTTGAATTAAATCATAAAAATGGAAGGGGGAGGGGGGGGGGAGAATATAACCTACAAATACCATTTATTTTATTCAAATAATTATTAAATATTAACTGTATCTCCACAGACTGCACATAATGTGGTAATTAAAGTTGAAGATGTTGAAGGACCTGGAAATGGTGCTGATGCCATTAAGAATAATTTTTAAATTTAAATTTAAATAAATATTTTTATGTAACCTTCAAGTTTTCTTTAATTTTAAACTAAAAACTTTATTTATTAAAAAACATTCTCTATTTATAATCTTTATTTCAATAATTGGTCGCTAAGTAACCTGTTAAGAAATAAAAAGTTAAAAAGGGAATCAGATTAAAAAATTGCTATAAATAAATTAGTAATTAATTAATTAATGTCCATTAAAATATTAAAATTTTGTGTTTTTTGTATTTACTTTGTAAATCTTTAAATTACGAAATAATTTAAACAAATGTATACAAATTTTTAAAAAGATTTATGGCAATTAGGCAATAAAATGAAAAATTTAGATTATGTAAAATAAAAACTTCAGACATTTTAATTATATTTATTTTTAGAAATTAATAAGTATTTAATAAGTAATTAATTTTTTAAATAATTTTCTGCAATACTTTGATTCTTTTACTTTTAGGCTTAATTTAATTAAATTTAATGTAAGAAATTTAATTTTAATAAATATTTTATGATCATTTTGGCCAAATTTAGTGGATGATAAAATCAGACAAAATGTTCAATTATTTACTTTTCAAGTCTTACTGTAAAAAACTTCAAAAAGGCGTTGAGAAACTTAAAAGTAAAAATTTCGAAATGAAACGTCCTCTGTGAGTCATAATTTTTAATTTTTTTATTTTTATTTACAATTTTTATAATTTTTCAAGATTCTAATTAATTTAATAATTATGTACTATTAAATGATGGAAGCAGAACTATTTCAAGAAATTACTGATGCTCTTAGAGTAAGTTTTTTATATATTTTTTACATGTTAACGTTCTGTTTTTTCTAAAAAAAATTAATTTTTATATAATTTTTAGGAGAAGTCAAATCATATATTTTTGCCTGTAGAGAATGTTTGTCCTATACAAAAAATTGTTTGGTCTTCATTTGATTACATGGCTGGACCTGAATTAAGATTTTGTTGGGAAGCTGATTATTCAATTAAAAATGGAAATAATCCAACAATAAATAATTCTGAAGGAATTGAATTTGATAATGAAATTGAAACTGGAGATGGATGTGTAAGTACAAGTGATTCTTCTTATACAAAAGTATTTTTTTATATTTTTTAGAAAATTTTTAAATTAAAATTTTAGAATACAATTAGTTCAAATAGTGCACAATTTGAAGATATTGATGCTTACAATGTTTATTTTTTAGAGAATTTAATTAAAAGATTTATTTTCAGAGTGAATCTTTTCAACTTGCATCTTTAAAATTTGGAAGAAATGGGGATTCTATTAACGATTTTGATAGTAAATTTGAAATTTCGAGAACACAATCCTCTACAATGGTTGAGTCTACAGATTCTTTTTCTCATATTCAAAGTACAAGTGAACAATTAACTCCACAAAAAGAGGTTTTTATTTTTTAATTCCAGAATTTATCTGGAAATTTGAAAAAACTTTTTAACCTTTTTTCTTTTGAGAAGCCAGCATCACCGACAAAAATTTCAAAATCATCAACAATTGATTCAATTAATAAAAATCAAAAAAGAAATGACCAACAACCGCCTTCTTCCTCTCCCTCTCCAGCAATGGTAACCTCTTGTGTAGATTCTGGAATAGCTCCAACAATTTCAACAGAAAGTAATTTAAGCGCATTTCTTTTACAAGAACCTAAAGGTTTTAATTTTTTTAATTAAAGGATATATTTGTTTTAGAAAATGTTATTTATAAAGCAACTAATCAATCTTGTGATATTCAATTACAAAAAGGGGAATTACTTTTAGATGCGAAAATAAATGGGGCACAAGAGGTGATTGAATTTGATGGTGATAATTATTCTGAAACTTCTGTTGTTGATGATATGTATGTCTCTTTTATAATTTTATTTTTTAATTTTTAAATAATGTTTCTGAATTCTGCTATTTCTTAAAAAGAAGCAGAATTTTTAATTTTTCTTTTTTTGTTTTTTACCAATTTTTAAAATTCTAAAAACTTTCGTTTATATTTTAGTTCCCCTGTTCGTACAGAAATACAAAATAATTCTTTTATTACGAGCCAAATTGGTTCTTCCTTCTTTTCCTCCACTTATTCCAATCCTGTAAATACTTGCTTGTCTTTAAATGACAAAAATTCAAAAATCAACGAATTTTTCCAAAAAGAAGCAGAATTTTTTAATGCTGAAATGACACCGAATGAATCTAACGGTTATTGGATGGCCATTCCTGATGAAGCTTTTGTAGCTAAACATGTACTTGCTGAACAAATTGCCAGGTTTTTTTGTAGATTAGATTTTTTTGTTAAAAATTTTATTTAAAGTGTTCAATTATCCTCAAATCCTGTTTTACATAAATTTTGTATTGTTGCTGCAAGACATATTTCTTTTGGTTCTTATATATTTGCAACTCGAACAGAAAATCAAAGATTTTGTGCTTCACCCAATCTTGCAGCTTTTACAGTTATTTTGCCTATTGAAAAGTTTTTTTTATTTTTTTAATTCTTTTTTCTTATTTAATAAATATTTTTAGAGTTGATTGGTATTTGCAACACCAACCATTTTTTCAAGAAATTTTTGAAGATATTATTGCCCGTTTCAGGTTATTTTTTAATTGATAGCATTCCTTTAAGTAAAAAATAATTTAGACCTGCTCATACAGTTGAATTATTGGATGATTTAGTATGTCGATGTACTCGGGAATTTTCAACTTTTCTCACAACAATTAGTTTTGAATAATTTTAAATTTTTCTTTTAAATTTTAAAATTAGGTGCTCTTGAACGGTGGCCTCTTTCTCTTCAACCAAACATTTCTCAACTTCGAATTCAACAAAGCCATTTATGGGAATTAAATTTTGAAAGAATAAATGAAAAAAGTTTTATTGCTCGGTGTATCACAGCAACATTAATTTGTAGAGGGCGTTGTGCTATTGTTGGAAGTAATTCTAAAGAAGTTTTTAAATTATTAATGACTCTTTGTGCCTTTACAAAATCTCAAGATCGGCTTTATAGTCTTCGGCCTTACAAACTGCCTTACTCTCCTTATATTCGTTTACAAGCAATTAAAAGAGTAAGAGAGGAGCTTTTTAAAAAATTTTAACAATTTTTTTATTTTTTAGCCAGAAATTTATCAATTTTTTGAACAAGCTGCTAATGCTCATTGGCCATGTTCGTTACTTGATATTGATCGTGGTTCAGTAATATATACGGGACTTTATCAAAAACATCGAATTCAAAAACGGGCAGAACAACATTTTCAAATATTTTATGTTATCCGCGAAGCAATGGATTGTGGCTTGGATATTCCAAATATTATCCTGAATGATTTAAATCAAAAATTTCTGAATGGCGGAGGAGAATTTATTAAAACTACATTGTTTGTTCTAACTAAATTTAAAAATATTTAATACAAATTTAGGGAAACCCAAATTGTCAAAGCAGAGCGTGGTGTTATTGAATTTTTGGAGCAAATATGTTTAATGCCTTTAAATCGAGCAGCAAGAATTTCCTTCATTGATCATTTTCATTTACGTCTAGAAAATCGAGCCAAATCACTTATTACATACATCCGAGATATTTCAAAACCTTCGCCTGAAGATAAGTGGGGAGCGCTTAGTGGTAGGTGGTCTTGCAAAACTGTTAGACGAAACTTAAATCTTTTACACGATTCTACTTTTGGTATTGTTTTGGCTGAGGCAGAAAGATTACAACCTGAAATTTCTGAGTTTATTGTACAACAAACAAAAATAGCTGAATATCCAATGAATAAAGATTAAATTCTTATTTTTTTAAGTATTTTATTTTCATTATAGGGGAGGGGGGTTGGCATTCTTAGTCTTTAAACTCCCTTTCTCATTTCAATCTTTTAGACTGCTTTTCGCATATATGGTTTGTTAATTTCACTCTCAATTTTCATTATTTTCCACGTTCCTCAGATTGTATCAACTTAAAATCTTTATGGATGACTTGTAATCTTGTTACAAGGCTATATTTCTTACAATTAGATATATAGATATTAAAAAGCGACATTTAAATCATTTACGAAAACATCATTGCAGCCAGATTACAGTCATCCATAAAGATAAGTTGATTCGATTTGTGCAATATGGAAAATAGAAAGATTGGGATTGTTTGTAATTTATTAACACACCGTATATTGCTTGTCGTTTAATTTGACGTTTTTATTACCTTAAATATTTTACTGTACACCGAATGACTAGGGCTGGCGGAAATATGCAAATGTAAATTGTGGGTAGTGCATATTTGGGCAAATTTTCTGTGTATATTTTAAGCACTAAATTCTTTAATTTTGCTTGTATATTTCCGCCTGCTATTTAATCACTTATACATATTTTCATTAAAAGCAAATATCCTTGTATATAATATGTATATATTTTAAAAAATTTTTGGTGATATATTCAACTCTAATTGTTTTTGAATTCTTTTGCCTTTTTGCTTTAGTTTTTTAATTCCTTTAATTAATGCATAAATCTAAGATTTATTAATTTTTTAGTATTTTCTTTATAATAATCAAAAATTTGAACTGATTATATAGTTGTAGTTCTTTTAACGTTAGAGGTATTTTTGTGGGTTTCTGTCAATATACCAATTTATCTACTGCAATCAATCTTCCAATTGATCATTTAAAATAAAAACAGTTGGCTATTTGAGGACCACATGTCTGCATGCATGTTTTTAGTATTCTCAATCCTACGTGTGTTCACGGGCTAATTGGAGTTTATTTTGTATTGAATTATAATAGCATTATTTCCTTCATTTTATGGTTTAAAAAGTATTTTTATTATTCTTTTCACCTATGCAATATTTAACTATTACCTTATCAAATATTTTTATATCTTTTTTATTATTTCTTCAAAATGAATGCCGTTATCCGGTTAGTATTATTATATCCTTTGTGAAAGTTTTATTGTTTATTTAGTGCCTAAATGATGGAGAGCCTATTTTACTTGGACAAAATAGCAATGAATTCCGTTGTGAATGTTTGACAGGATTTTTTGGTCCTTTTTGCGAGTATCAGGATACAAGTCAATCCATTAAAGAAAAACCGCCAATTCCAGTAAGATATAGAAATTCTGGCACAATTATTTTTTCTTGTTTGATTTCTTATTAGTAAAAGCCTTTTTTAGACCTCAACTTCACTATTCTCTCATTCAGCCACCAATAATCTTGCATCAATTACGGCAGGCCAACAACGTGGATGGGAAACTACTTTTGTGAATTTACTTATTTGTGTATTTTTCTTGTTGTTATTGCCTTCATTAGTAAAAAAACAATTTAATTTACACAAATATTTTTTTATTATTTTTGGTCATTTATGCAATTCGGGTACTTTACTTGTTACTTAAACGATGTCACACCTACTATAATATTCATCACCAAACAACAACAGCTACTAATACAAACACAAATTGTAATGGAATTTTAATTCAACAAAATGTAAAGAAAATTTTTCTAAAAAAATTCTTTTAATCTACCATAATTTTTAATAGAATCAACAACGTCCAACACCTCCACCCCATTATTGGGCAGCAATGGGTGTTGCAGATGAATTAAGGCAACAAAATAATGATATTAATAGCAATCAACAACAACGTTCACTTACTTGGCTTTTGCCTTTAACTGAGAGTAGTGGGGAATATACTAGAAGACATTTACCACCATTAAATAATCAACAACAACAACAAAGAATGCGTAGAAGACGAAGATCTGTTTCAGTAAAATAATATATTTTATCACTTTATATTATTATTGTTTAGCCTATTACTGAAGTAACAGTTCAATTGCCAACATCTATTTGTAGAGGAGGGTTTGTTTTAAAAATTATTCGACAAAGAATTTTCCTTTTAGACGTCCAATTCATTCCTCTCGATCAGTTGGTGGCCCTATACCTTTGCATCAATCCCAATCATTAACCCTCGCAGAATTTCATGAACTTCTGCTTAGGATTCAGCAAGAAATGCAAACACGACAACATTTAGAAGGAATAGAACAACAACGGCAACAACAACAACTTATCACTTCAACGAATTGGGGTTCTAAAAATATAATTTTATTTAAATATATTTTTATTTTTTACAGAGACAGAACAACAATCCTTATCAGCAAATCAACAAAATTATCATAATGATCTACCGAATAATTCTCTTTCTACTTATCCAATTGAGCCTCCACCTAGCTATAATGAACTAACAAACCAGCAATAACAACAAAAATTCTAATAAATTGTAAAAAATAAACTTCAATTTTTTAAATAAAATTATTTAAATTATAATTTAGAAAAAACAAATTTTGAAAAAAGAAATCATGGGCTCAGACTTATGAATCCCCTCATTGCCTTGGCTAGAGTGGAAACCGCGAACGTTTCTATCATTTTCATCACTGCCCAAACTAAATTCAGCGGAGTAACAAAAGAGAACCAACGATTTAGCCACTTAACCAGAGACGCAATCAGTCGAAAAGCAATCATTTTCTATAGAGAAACTAAGAAAACTTTGTAGTAGAATTGTTACTCTATCAAATTTATTTATTCATAATGAAGGCTTTAATATCTTATCTTTCAAAAAAAACTTTAAAAAAAATAATCAGTGTATGAAAATAAATGTAATTTTTTTCTCTCCTCTGATTTTTATTATCTTCGCCGTCCAAGCCAAGCATTTTTTAAAAGAGAATTTAATTCACTTTCACTAACTTCTCGTTTGTTTGTGGGACTATCAACAAGCCCCAAAAATGGATATTGTTCATTAGCCTCTTTTAACTCTTCGATTAGAGGAACCCATCGTTTTTGAATAGAACGCTAAAAAATTTTAATTAAATAACCAAATTTAAGAAATACTTTATTTACTAGTAGTTCAGCTTTAAATTTGTTAATTTCTCCATTGTTGTTTTTCATATTTATATTCCTCTTAATTTTAAAACTCATTTCATTGGAAACATTTACAAAAAACAATAGTAAAAAGAAAAATATAATTGAATAACTGTAGCGATGAATATTTTTACTTGAGGGAATCCGTAAAGAATTTGTATAGTATCTATTGTTGGTCATATTTTGTAGAGAATAACTGGTAGAAGGAAAAATAATTTTGGATAACTAAAAAAATAATGTTAAAATTTTTATAAAATGTGTATTCAAAACCATCGAACAACAGGTTAAGTTTGAAGCAAGTTTTCTTACCTCTACTAACAGCAAAGGTAAGAAATGCTAAAGTATCGAAAATCGGAAGCGCTTCAAATTTTGAAAATTGGAAAACACCGGGAACCGATCCGATTAACTTAAAAATAGATTATAATAGCCTTTTACAATTCTGTGGTTTAACATAATTCTATCAAGTTTAAGCTACATGAGGAATAGTAAATAATATTGCAGTTTATATTAAATGCAAGCAAATTAACTTTGATTCATTTTTTCCAAATAATTCTTTCAAGTCAGTAAATAAAGTTCATTGGACCGTGATTCTTTGCTTCCGTTTTGATGTTAAAAAAAGATACTTTTTAAACAAAAAAATTTTTTTTCAATTTTTTTATTTAAAAATAGAATTTAAAAAATAATCCAAAAAGAAACAAAATTAATAATTTGAAAAAAAATTAAATAAAATTCAAATAGAGGTGTAGGGAAGGAAGGGTTACACCTTCCTTCTTCTCTATATATAGCTGAGGATGTTTATGTAGATGGAGATATGGCACCAATTACAATTAGATACTCGCACGAATGCGCACGACATTTATTTTAATCTTTTCTTAGTCATGACGGCAATCCCTAGAGAATATAAACAAGAGGAGGAGGAGGGAAAGGTTTGCGCTATTTTGTTTTTAAAGAAATATTTCGATGAAAAATTGAGAAAAAAAACTTATTTTGCCAAAAATTTGTGATTAATGGGGAAAAGACATGACAAAAATCTGATATTTTATTTTATGCCCCATAATAAAGATTAATTAATGTTTCTTTTTATTGGATAATAATGATGTATGTTGCTCTAAAGAATTTTTTAATAAGAAATCAAAATAATCAAAAACTATCTAATTTTCCTAATAATATATCAAAAATAAGTGAATATTTTGAGAAATTATAAAATATAATTCTAAATTTATTCAGTGTCAAGCATAATTACTTCTTTATTGGCATTATTTTGTTCATTACCAATATTAACATAAACAGATTTAAGTTGTGTAAATGAATGAAGACATTCAACACAATTTTCGCGTCCATAACCAGAATTTTTATACCCACCAAATGGAATATGGACCTAAATTAAATTTTAAAAATTATTTAAAAATATTTAAAATACCTCTGTGTCATTATAAGTATTTACATAAATTGTCCCAGCTTGAAGTTCAGCAGCTACACGATGGGCTCTCGAAAGACTTCTATAATAATTTTTAAAAAATTAAAATTGTGAAAAAATATTGGAAGTTTTAACCCCAAAATAATGTCCTTTTATTTAATTTTTAAAATATTAATTCCCTCACTTTGTACAAATTCCAGCAGCCAGTCCATAATCACTTTTATTTGCACGTTCAATAGCTTCCTTTTCATTAACAAAAAGCAAAAGAAGACAAACAGCACCAAAAACTTCTTCTCGAACAATTTCCATTTCATCATTTAAACCAGTAAGTAAAGCAGGTGTAAAATAAAAACCGTCTTCAACATTTTGTGGATGTACTCGAATTCCACCAAAAAGTAATTGGGCACCCTAAAATAATTTATTTTTTAGCTTAAAAATATTTAAAAAACTTGTTGAACAGCTCGATCAACATATCCACAAACTTTTTGTAAATGTTGCTCATTTATTGTTGCCCCAACAGTTGTACGTTCATCTAACGGGTCTCCAACAATTAATTTACGCTCCATTTCCGCCAAGAGTAGATTTTGAAATTCGTCAAAAATAGATTTTTGGACAAAAACACGAGTGGCGTTTGTACAGACTTCTCCTTAAAAATAATTATTTTATCATAAAAATAATTTAAAAAAATAAATAACCTTGATTTAAAAAATTTGCCAGCATTGCAGCTTCAACAGCAGTTTTCATATCAGCATCATCAAAAATAATAAGAGCTGATTTTCCTCCAAGTTCTAAAGTAACCTAAAAAATAACAAAAATAGGATTCCGCACGTTGTGATGTTTTTCTCAAGAATCTTAACGAAAAAAAATTTCAGATGATAAATATTTTGATAAAATATTTTAAAATTTTCGTTTTTTCGGCCTACTTGTCACTACTTAATTCAAGCTGGTTTTTTAAATTTTATTTATAACTCGAGAATTTTTCAAAAAAAACATTTTTTGATTCAATTCTCATTAGTAATTCGTAGCAAAGAGAAGGGTTTAAACTTTAACCTTACAATTAATGTGGATTATAATTGCGAGATTTTTGTGTATATGCTTTAAAAAATAAAAACTAACCGGCTTAATACGTTTTGGTTCAGCACACGCTTTTTGAATTTTCATTCCAGTTGGCAAGGAACCAGTAAAAGAAACTTTAGCAATATCTTGATTTGTACAAATCATTTCGCCAGTAGCTGCTTCCCCCTTTAATAAATTCCTTTATTTTAGTTTAATAAATTATTAAGAACTTGTAAAACGTTAAAAAGACCATCTGGTAAACCAGCTGCTTTAAGTAATTCGGCCAACAAAACAGGACTCGCTGGTGCAAATGGACTTGGTTTGTATATGACAGCATTTCCAGCTGCTAAAGCGGGGGCTACTTTCCAACAGCAAGTCTAAATAGAATGTTGAAATTTTTAATTAAAATAATTTTAACTTGAAAAGGATAATTCCATGCCCCAATACACCCAACAACTCCAAAAGGTTCACGTCGAGTATATGCAAAACGGCCACCATTTTGGCCTTCAATCGGAAGGTCAATAAAATCACCTAAATTGTTAATATTTTTAAAGTTTTTAAATAAAATTTTTTCACCTTTCATTTGCGCAGGTAAAATTCCTCCATAAAAACTAAAAGTATCCGCACTTGATTCAATATCCGAACGAGCCTCAGTCAAAGGTTTTCCGTTCGTTTTTACTTCCCATTTTGCGATCGATTCCAAATTTGCCTTTAATTTTTAATTTAGGAAAAATAAAAATTTTAAAAAAAACTCGAATCAATTCAGCTGCTCGCAAAAGAATTTTTGAACGTTCAAATGGACTTTTTGCTGCCCATGCACGTTGCGCTGTAGATGCTTGTCCGATGACTAAATCAACAAGTGCGGCATCAGCACACGGACATTGCATTAATTGTTGGCCAGTTCTGGGTTCGAAGACTGGGAATGTATTAATCCCACAAACTGTTCGACGTATTCCTTCGAAAAAGAAAAGTCCTCCATTTAGATTTTCTGGTATCGTAAACTCTCCTGCCATTTAGTTTTAAAACGTCGTTAATACTTAACCTAAAAATTAAAAAAAAATTTTTTCAATTTTTTTTAAAATTTTTAATGCATTCGAAAAAAATTTCGAAACGAAATATTTTCATTATTTCGTCAATGCAACGTAATTTATCGAAAGAATTGAAAATCTTTAACCCCTACCCTCATTCGGTAAACATCCCGCACTTTCGCGCGGAACGAAACTTTTTCTTTTAAAATTTCGTTTATGTTTTGATCTTTTTTCAATTTTATTTTTTTATTTTTAATTGTTTGTAATATTTATTTTTAGCAAAATGCGTAACAGAAATAGCAAATATGATGCATATTTTCACATTTTCGACGGAACTGCTAAATGCTTGGGTAAAGACTGTAATTATTTTTACAAATCTATTTCTTCTTCATTTCCACGTACATGTTTACGTGCACATCTTGAACGTTATCATAAAGAGTCATTCCAAAAATTAAGAGCAGATGAAGATCAACAACAAGAAAAACCTATAGTTAGACCTGTGAGAAAACGAGTGAAAAAAGAAAAAAAAGTTTTTATTATTGCCTTCAAAATATTTCTAATTTTTAAATTTAGTCATCTTCTAATTTTGACTCTACTTCTGAAAATGTAAATAATGATAGGAATTGGTGTTCTCCAAATGATGAATTATTATTGATGACAGAAAAAGTAGAAGAAGGTGATGATGGTTATAATTCAAAATTGGATGAAGCTATAATGAATTTAATTTGTACGGCATCTCTCCCTCTTTCATTTATTGAAGAGCCTGGACTGAAAAATCTTTTAAATATTCTTGTTCCAGATTATAAATTAAGGTATTTTTATTTAAATTTTTTTAAATTTAAAAATAATTTTAATTTTTAAAAGACCACAACGTTTCTTTTCTTCATTTGTTTTAAATAAATTATATACAAAAATAAGGCAAAAAGTAAATGATGATATTCGGACTGAATTTTTGTCTTTGACTGTTAATAGTTTAAAATCAAATGACGATTCCTATACCCTTCTTGTTTTTACTGCTCATTATATTTCTGCAAGTATGACTCCCTGTTCTCGTGTTTTAGCTGTGGAGCCTGTGAAGGTTGGTTTCAAAATCTTTTTTTTTAATTTTAAAAATATAATTTATTTTTAGGGTGAACAAACTTGTGAAAATGTCAGTGCTTTACTTAGTAATGTATTGAATGAGTACCGTGTAGATGCTTTCAAAGTTCATCTAATTTTACGAGAGGAGAATGATGATGATTTAAAAAAGGCGATTCGTTCGACGGGTTTTGATTCAATGCAATGTTTAACAATTAAATTAGATTTGGTAATTTTTAAACGAAAATTTTAAGCTGTTTTTTTAAAGTGTATTTGGGAAGCTTTAAATATTTTTTCTGTAAATGAACTTCTTGAGAAAGTTAAAAAGGCAATAAGAAAGATACGAAAATCAAGAGCTTTAAGTGACAATTTCCCTCCATTATGTGATGATAATTCAATTCCTTCTATTTATTTAAAAAAGGTAAGAATTTTAAATTTTTTTAAATTATTTTTTAGGGAACAAAAATTCGATGGAATAATGCTTTATTAATATTTGAATGTTTTTCTTTAAATGAAGAATTTTTAATTAGAATCCCTTATAGTAATAAATTATTTCCTGCCTTTTCTCCAAATGAATGGAAAAACATGAAAAGTATTTGTGAATTACTTCGTCCTATTTATCGTGCAACAACTAGAATAGCTTCTCGACAAGCTTGCATTTCTTCTGTCATTCCATTATTTAAAGCAATTGATCGGGAATTGTTGAGATTAAATACAAATTCTCCTTTAATTAGAGATAAATTAAAAGAAGAATTGAATATAAAATTTGGAGGTTTTTTTTTGAATAAAATTAATTTTTTTAATTAAAATTAATTTTTAGATTGTGAAGAAAGTAAACATTTATTGATTGCTACTTTATTAGATCCTGCCTACAAAAGTGCTTTCTTTAAGGATCCTTTAAAGGCAAGAGATATTTTGTTTAGTGAAGTTGAAATGCTTGCAATTAGATCAGTTGAAGTAAAAAAATTAGAAAAAATTTTCTTATTTAAATTTTAATAAAAAGGCTGCTCCCGCAATTCATAACGGAAACAATATGGAAGAAGATGACCCATTTGTACGTTTTTGCCGTGATTCAGAGGCAATCGAATTTTCTGCTTCATCGCCTTCGCCCTCTACAACATCACCATTAGAAAATGCAAAAGCTATGGCAGCATGGGTATAAATATTTTAATTTATTAAATATTAATTAAAATTAATTTTTAGCAAGTAAATGATTATTTAAATAGTCCAAAATATGATGGTGATTCTTATTCATTTTGGGATAATCCTTATTATGCATCTAAATATATGTTTCTTTTACCACTCGTTAAAAAATACCATTCTGCTCCAAATACCACAATATTTTTTGGTGAAAATATGCAACAACAACAACGAAATTCTTGTACAAAACTTTTATCACCAGATGTGAGAAGAAGTATAAATAATGAGACTTTAAAAGAAATGTTATTTGTACATCAAAATATTTTATTAATGGGTTTTGACTTTTAAATTTCTAATTTTTGTATAAAATTTAACATTTTTAAAAATTTAATAAATTTTATTTTTGGGTTTTTATTTCCATTTATTATATTTAAAATGTACGTACACTCGCTTTTTTGAGTAATGGACAAGTTTAGTAGAAAATTGTTAGGGGTTTTTGATGCTGTTAGAAATCTTCGACCGAGGACAGTTTCTTGGATAATTGACAAAAACATTTAAAAACGATTATGGATGAATTTTGAAATATTAAAATGTGCAAATGAGTTTCCCTCTTTTTAGTTTCAACCCGAGCAAAAAAACGTGTTTCTAATAATTTAGGAAAAATATGGATTATCGTGTAATTATCGTGTAATTGGTGGTCTAATAATTTGTGTCAGTTATTGAAACGATGAAATGTCCTATAAATTATGAACTGTCCTTCCCCCTTCCCCCCTTCAATAATGTTTTTATTTCGTAATAAAGTTTTATTAGAATTTATAATAATGAACGGAACGCCTAAGCGATTGCAATTTTTGCCACCACAAACACGTGATAATTTTGTTTTGCGGATTATTAAAAGTTCATTTCATGCTATTTTTATTTGGATATTTAATGTCTACAATTTTACAATGTTATTTGTTAAAAAACAATACAGAAAGGTTTTTAATTAATTTAAAAATTATTTTTTAAAAATATTTTTAGGTTAAAAAGCAACAATTTGTTAAATATAGTGTTATTCCCCTTTCACCATTAACTGCACAAAGACTTTGTAAAATTTTTTCAATTAATTTTTATTTTTATAATTATTTTTAAAGGTTTTGTGCGGCGTAAAATAATGGTGCTTGATTTAGATGAGACATTAATTCATTCACATCATGATGGACTTCTCCGGTCGACTGTTAAACCTGGAACACCTCCAGATTTTATTATAAGGGTTTTTTACTTTTCTTTTAATTTAAAAAAATTTCTCTCTCATTTAAGGTAACTATTGACAATCAACCGGTTAGGTTCTTTGTCCATCTTAGGCCGCATGTTGAATTTTTTTTGTCAGTTGTTAGCTGTTGGTTTGACCTTGTTATATTCACTGCTTCAATGGAAATTTATGGGGCTTCTGTTGCTGATAAATTAGATCAAGGACGTGGAATTTTACAAAGGCGATATTTTCGGCAACATTGCACCCAGGATTACAAGTTTTCTCTTTTAATTTAAATAATTTTAAAAATAATTTTCTCAGTGGATACACAAAGGATTTGGCTGCTGTTCATCCAGACCTTTCTTCAATATTTATTTTGGACAATTCTCCAGCTGCTTATCGGAACTACACTCGTTAATATTTAAATTTTTGATTTTAAAAATTTAAAATCTTTTAATTTAGAAAATGCCATTCCAATAAAGTCCTGGTTCAGTGATCCGTCGGATACTTGTCTTTTAAATATTTTACCTTTTTTGGATGCTTTAAGATTAACTTCTGATGTTCGCTCAATTTTAGGTCGAAATTTACATCACCGGACACAACAATTACAATTAATGCAACAACAACAACAATTTAGTTGTTTTCCTTCTGTAAGTTTTTTTTAATTTAAAAAATTTTTTAAAATTGTTTTTTCAATTTCTTTCAGAGATGATTCTCAAATATATTCAATGACAACGTCAAATTCTCTCTTTTTTTTTGCAATTTCACCTCTTTCCATGTTTCTCATACGGCTTTCGTCCATCAAAGGTTCATACATTGCGCATTCATTTTTTATTTTTTTGTTTTAAATATTTAAAATTTCCTCTTCCAGAAATGTTTCGAAATTTCTAAAATTCAAAGTATGATATCCGGGGGAGGGGGAGGTCAATCAACTTTTATTTCGTAATTTTTTTTGTTTCGAAACATTTCTGCTCTCCTTCCCAAATATTCAATTTTCCTCTATTCATGGTTTTTGTTAAATATAAATTATTTTTTATTTATATAAATTTTTAATTTGCTATTTAATTTATTTTTTGTTGTTCTTTTCAGATTTTATTTTTTTAATTTAAAATTCAAAGCTTGAAAGCCCCAAAAATATTTTTAAACTTTTTTTTAGGTATTAAACAAAAATAGGCTAGACTTATTTTAATCTTTTTTCTTTTAAAATATTTAAATATACAATCATTTTTTCTTTAGATAATTTACATTTTTTAAAGTTGTGACCATATATTTATTATTTAGAATAAAAATTAAAGAAACAAATTTTGATTACAATTTAAAAAATTATAAAAATTAAAATTATAAAAAATTGTTTGTATTCAATAAAATTATCCATTTCTCATTCAATAAGCCTAAAAAATTAACAAAATTAGTATTTTAAAATTAAATTTAAAAAACTTTTCAATCAAATGTTTTTTTATTTTTTGTTCTTCAATAATTAATTGTTCCCCTTCCTGTTTATTATTAATTTCTTTATTGAAGCAACAATTATTTATAATTTCTTTTTTAAAAGAAATTTTTTTAAATGCTGAAGGAATTGAATATTTAAATATTTCTTTTTTATCTGAGGTATTTTTTGTTGTTATAGGAGTAGTAAAAAGTTGTGATGAACGGGGGTGTATTGAACCAGTACGGCGATAACGAGTCATTATTTTTGAAACACAAGCTTTAAATTTTAATTTAATTTTTGTTTGTTGATCCAAATGGTTGAACGATGTTTTTTGATATTTATCGGTATTCCGTATCGGTAGTACCGTACACGATACCAACCTATGAAATTTTTAAGATGATCGGTATTACTGTACGAAATGTACGGGAGGAGGGGGGTGCAAAATTCCGATCACTATTATTTAAAAGAATTTTTGGAAAAAATATTTTTTAAATATTTAAAATAAGGTAATCTAACAATGTGTAACTCCAATAATTTTAGCAATATGACTAATTTTTAATCCTCGTTGATATAAATCCAAAATTCTTTGTCTTTCTAATATTCCCTTTAAAAAATTTCTTTAATTTTTAAAAAAATAATGACAAACTAAAGGTCTTCCAGGATTATATGAACGACCAAGTTTATTTCTTGCTAAATAAATAAAAATATTTTTCTTTCTAAAATAATTATAATTACACAAAGATTCTAATTGATTATTTAAATTTTGAGAAGAATTATTATTTAAATAATTATTTATTATTTGAAAATTATTATTTGTTGTTGTTATTTGTTTGTTATTTAAAAATGTTTTTAATTGTTGTTGATAAACATTAGGTGGTAATAAATTGTTGTTATTATTGTTGTTAATATTTTGAATTGAATTATTCTTTAAATTAAAATATATTTTAAATTTATTCGAAACAAAAGTATTTAGATATTTATATATATATATATATATATTACAACTAATCTTATATAATTTTTTTTAAATTTCCCCAAAAAAAATTTTTTTAAATAAAAATTTAAACTTTATTTTGTAAAAATTCCCAAAACATTTTTCTAATATTATTTTCATTAATTTCTAATATTTGTTGTTGTATTAAGGGTGGACATTGAGGAATAAATAAATTAGGCGATAATTTTTGAAAATAATTTATTTGATTATTAAATTCTTGAGAGTTTAAATTATTGTTATTTATCATTAAATATTCTTGTAAATATTTATAATTATTTGAAAAAGATTGTTGTTGTTGTTGGATATTTAATGGATATATTAATTCCATTTTTATTTTTAAAAATATATTTTTTTGAAGAAAAAAGGAAATGTCAGTCAACAATTAATGAACTGGGGCATTAGGCCACAAAGGGTGTTGTGGATCAAAACTAATTGAAAATTATATTATAGCCTTAGGCTACATATATATTTATTTTTGCGCTTTTCCTCTCTCCCTTCTCTTCTCTCTCTTTTTTTTTGTACTTTTAAATTACTCCAAAAAAACAATTTTCGAAAGGACAAAAACACAAACTAGCTTAAAAAAGAATAAAAAAACAACCTGTTCTACTTTAAGGCCATTTTATTTTGTTGTTTTGGGAAAAGGATGTTGTCCCACTGCGTGAAGTGGATCGGCCCTAAGGCTAAAAAATAGAAGGCCCAAATATTCTTTTCTTATTCTCACCTTTAGATTTCCTTTTATTTAGTAAATAATCCCATTTATATATTATTTTTTTTCTTCCATTTCAAAAGACCTGTCTCACATAAAAGAAAAAAACTAAATTATATCCCAAAGTATTTGTAGTTAATTTTTATATTTATTTTTTCCTTCTTTTTTAATATCCATTTATTTGGCCCTTGACTGGCTTTTTATTTGAAAAAAATTTTGTCGCGCAACTAGAATTGGAGAAGGTTGTTTCCAATTAAAGAAAATTAGGGCAAATTATATAATAGAAATAAAGGAAAAAAAGTTTAATAAATTTGAAATTTTAATTTATAAACCAAGAAAATATATATATTTATATATTTATGTACTTCAATTAAAACTAGAATTTAAGTATTTACATAAAATATTTAATATTTTAGCTCCATTATTATTAGCAGTTAAAATACTTATAAAATGGCCTTAAAGTAGAACATGTTGTTTTTTTTTTGTCCCTATCTTTTTGACCACGACTGAATGTAAAAAGTTTAATAAAAAACTTAAATTTGTTTGACCTAATATAAATTAAAATGAATACAAAAAATTTTTAATAAATAGTAGGTATATGAAAAATATGGAATTTCAATACTTCATCCATTTTTTTAAATATTTTATCCAAATTAAACAATTTTCCTTATTTTCGGTAAAATTTCTTTGATTTTCTTGAAATTCATAAATTTTGTCTACATTTTGCAAACTTCAGGATTTTAACCATACATATTTATTTTGCTTTATTGAGTTCCCTTCTCTCGAAATTTTCATATACATATTTTCAAAATTGTCATAAAAATTTCAACAAAATTAAATGCTGTCGAATGTTATAAAACATAAATACAATTTCTAACAGTTATCTAATTGTAATTTGAGAAATTTTTAAATTTATTTAGGGTTTTAGAAATTTTATTATATTTTTAATAGTTTGAACTATTTGGATTTTTCACCTCATATGTATTACTAGGCTGGAAGAAAAACGGTATAACTCTAAGAAAAAATTTAATAAATTTTATACCCAAAACAGTAAGCAGATACAAAAAAACCTAGGAAGTCAGGGAACTAATGAATTCTTGGATCGAAAAAAAATAAACCACATAAATCAAATAATATTTATTTACATTCAACAAAACAATTATACAGAAAATGAATCTACAGGAAATACAAATTTGGAACAATACAAAGGAAAACATTAGGAAAAACATTACAACAATGTGGGAATATCACTATCCTATGAGTTTTTACAGCTTGGTCCATATTATTCGTCGAACTTCTGTCCTGGCTTCGGTTTGCGGCAGAGCACGAGGAACTTATGCACAGCGGGCCCTTCGAATCGCTCGTCCTTGCCTGCGACCACGGCCGATGCACGCTCATTGCGAATGTCAGCCTTGCCAAGTGCCTCCTTGCCATTTGGAAGAGTTAGCAGGCATGGCGAGATGTTTCCTGAAATTGATTCAAAATTTATTTTTAGATTATCAAACGTAGATGATAAAACACACCTTTCACTTGATCGACGTGAACAGGATAGAAGACTCGGGCGTTCTTGTCAAAGACAGCTGCATCACTCCATGGGCGCCAATGATAGTCGTAGCCACGGACACGTTCTGGGAGGTCGACCAGAACCTGAATGGAGCCGATGTTGTCGACGAAGGCCTTCCCATTCCAGCCGAATGCTGCAGCGACCTGTGAAAAAAGTTAAGCAGTTACACGCTAAAATGTAATGCGGTGCTGTCACCTTGCCATTGTTGTTCCAGATCCGTCCCATTACCGGCTCACCATGCACGTACCACAGGGCTACATGCTGCTCACTAGAGTCTCCAGGTGCCGCATTCAACGTCTTGTCGCCTGCTCTGATCGTCTTGTAGGTTGGCCAAGCGTCTCCCATCCTGATGTCTGCCCACTCATTCAGCATTATGAGTGGTGGTGGCACTGGCGGCGGAGGAGCTTTGAAGCAGATGTTGCACACGCAGCCCAACGGCCCTCCCTTCAGATTCCTGTGAAATTAAAATTTAAGGAAGTCACAAGTCAGAATTTTAAATAGATCAAGGGCTCACCTCATTATGATCTTCATTTCCGAGAGCGGCTTCCCTACAATGCATTCTGCCTTCCCTCCCTGTGAGAAGAAGGCTTCTTCCGTCTTCATGTTCAAGTAGCCGAGCAGCGTACCACCAGTCCGTCCCTCCCAGAGAATCGGCATCGAGTCGCCACATCGAACAAGCTGTCGTTCGTCGGTTTTCTCGAAGCGGTCCTTGTATTTGATCCACTCGTACCAGTAGCCGAGCGTGTTGTGGTCACCCTTGTACTGTAGCACCTTTAAAATTTAATATTACGTATTTGTGTAAAAAAGATTTAAAAGATTAACTCACTTGAATCATGCCGCCCAGATCTTCCTTTCCAGTGAGCTCCGCCTTGCCATACGGGAACGAAGCCTGTACAACGCCACCATCGTTCCATGCGTAGCCGTGCACTGGCTTTCCGTTCTTGTACCAAAGCGCGACGTACATGTTCTGCTGGCCCAGCACCTTGACAGGATTTTCCGGAAATGGTGAACCGATCGGA